AATTCAAAATGAGTATGGCTTTAGGAAAAACACTCAACTGTTGTGGGAATAATGGAACTGACAGAGAAAATATGCAGATACATATGTTGTAAGTATCTTACTAGACCTGCAAAAGGCTTGCTCATACATGGTTCTCTAGTTATCTAGAAAATCGTAAACAGTTTGTGCAGATACATTGTAAAAATAATAAATTACTCAATACCTATGTTGTTTGTATGAATGACTTTCCAAAAGTATCAACTATTGTGCTGTCCTCACGATACGTGACCATGTGAAGTTGGAGCGAACGGGAAAGAAACTCTGTAGACAAGGTTTACTTTTCTTGTTTCATAGAGAATCTCTTGCGTATGGTTCATTGCATCCCTAAATACAAAATAAAAAATCACCGTAACTGAAACACTAGAAAAACTATCAACGGTTGTGCACACGGAATTGCGTACAGCGCTTGCTACTCAGATATAGCCCAAACTTAACACTTTGGAGTAGAATAAAACACTTTTATGGCGCCTAACAATGTGCTTGTGAGATTAAATAATACTTACAAAGACGAAAGTTTGCCACGGGTCAACACATGAAACAAAGATTGTTACAAAGACAAACCAAACAAGAGCGCTTACTCTGCTCGACCAGGAAACTGATGTCTTACTTTGTTTCCCCTTATATTTTAGCACAACAAACAACTATAGCTTATTATCACACTGGGCTGAAGAAGGCGCTGCGGGGCCCAAACACGCTGGTCCCTTCTCTGTTAAAGGACTTTTATCAGAGTGCCTCGGATTTCACCCTGTCTTCATTTCCCATGGAAAAGGGAATCTTTGTTTTTAAATGTAACTTATTACATAGCATTTAAGAACGTGTTGCATTTTTAAACTTATAAATGATTGAATTATGTCTTTAAACTTGTAAACATGACACCTATATTACAAATAATCTTATTTGCTGGTGCCACAGCATTATTTTGTTGTGGAAAAAATGTTGGAGAGTTATCAAAAAGTAATAAACAAAGAACTTGTCATAATAAAAATCTGGTTGGTTCAAATGACTTTGCTCTAAACAAAGAAAAAACGATTACATGATATTCAAAGCTAAAAAGAAAAAAATCTTAAATAGTGTATCGATAAGACTAGACGGGGGAATTCAAAAGGGTAAAAGAAACAACATTTTTGGGAGTCATCATCGTTGAGGAAAGGAAAATTAGCCAAATCACTTGGTGTTTTACACTTTCCAAACCACTCAGCATTACTGACCTTAGATAATACAATGATTATACCGACCTCACCTATGTTGTCAACATTTGGAGACAACGTTTAAAACACATACACTGCCTATAGTTATTTTACATAAAAAAGACCAGAAGGAAAATATATCGAGATTCATCAAATCCTGTTTTTGAGTGCTTGGTGTTAAAATTGTATGTTATAGTGGATTATACTATTTATCATACATTGTATAAGGTAAATTGCAAAACATTAGCAGCAAACCTCTAAGAGAACTTTGGAAAAAAAGACAATGTCGATACAATCTGTAAGTAACTGACATCTTTAATAAAACCTAGATTCAGAACTACATTCATGGGAAGAATGGTCTCAGTGGAAAGGAATCAACTTGTGGAACTTAATAAAGACATTAAAGAGTCAAAATAAAAAATCATGGTTTTTAAGAAACAACAAAACTACTATACTCAATAAATATGAGAGTGTTACATAATAAGAAAATCTGGATTTTAATTAATGGTTTGTGTTTTGGTAAAATGTTGTACATAATGTTTAATTAATGGTTTGTGTTTTGGTAAAATGTTGTACATAATGTTTAAGGTATGTAATATGGGTGTTTAATCAGTCTTTAAGATGATTATTTATGGTAACGAGTGTCACTTGTATATCTGAGAGATGTACGCCTTTAAATCATTTGATCTCGAGTAAAAAGAAAACCTATACCAAGGACCCTAGTTTCACATCTACCTACTCTGTTTCAAACTGTGTACATATATGTATCTAGGGTTCTTATTTTTATTGTATTGGACAATTAAATTGATATAGAGACTGCTACCTTATGATTAGGGTTAGGATTATAACGCATTAATTACGATTGATAAACGCCACTAAAAATATATGTGTTTTTGCTCCACGGAACCTTTGTCATCAGGTGAGTTTCAGACGGATCGTTCATACTGGTGTACCAGTTGGAACCCTGCGCCCATCTCCGTGAAAAAATAACAACTATCCCCCTATTGTTTTAGTGCAACACTCAGGACCACATGATAAGGCTATCACACACACACACACCTAAGTGTCGCTCTTTCAGAGTTCGGGTGCAGTACCACTTGTTGCAGAAAAATAAAAAAAATACCTATACAATACAATACAATTTAGTCTTGTATAGCCCTAAATCACAACTGGAGTCATCTCAGAGGACTTACCAAAAACTACTGAAAATCACCAACACAGATCGGAGAATCAACAGTTAAAACACATAAAGAATATAGACCACATGCCCGTACATGTTGTAGAATATTAAAGTGTCCTGGATCATCACCACAGTCCTTCTAGTTTCTCACTAACTGTGCAACAAACCCATCCTGCATCAGCAAGGAAAAACTCATATGAAAAAAAGTGCGAAACCTCAGGGAGACCCATAGTTTGAGAAAGGGATCTGCTTCACTCAAGTGTTACCTATTGGAAAATAGGGCGCCATACCACCTTTTCATCACATGGTACTACATGTATCACCCTGATTGGACGTAGTAGGTCCATCCTCCCTCCAACCCTTCATCATGATTCGCTGTTAGTACACCCTCCCTTTAACATTGCACGGATTGGCCATAGCTGGTCCATCCTCCCACCCCTTCATCCTCCCATCAAGTTTGTATAGGTTGACAGGTCTGGGGCAGGTCCTCCGTGTAGATTAATTAGTTATTGACGTGTCTCCCTTAACTAAGCCATCACTGTTTGTTTTAGAATAAGCTCGGTGTGACCCTCCACATGTGTTACGCTAAACGCTGCTCAATAAATCACTTTTAGACAACTGTGAACCACACTTACAAACCAGGCAGAGGGTAACTCATTAAACATTCAAAAGTGACACCTCTTTGAAAAATACAGTGCAGTAACACCTTTCACCACTTGCTCAATAGCGCCGTCCCCATTCTGGGGAGTTCAGGGTGCAGTACCACCTTTTCACCACTTGCTCAATACCGCCGTCAATTATATCTACTCATGACCCAACTCTGCAACAATGCGTGGCAAACTGGGGCAGTGACTTTGGAGTGGTCACTATCTTCAAGTGTGGGAAAACTGAGGGATCACGCTCTCTGGATATGTCCTACTGAGAGGAGACCCAGGGAAAGAGCCACTACTACATAGTAGAGGGACAATGGGCCTCATTCACGAACGGTTCTTAAGAACAAATTTGTGCGTAAATCCTACTTACGAGGATTTTACGAAGATTGTGGCATTCATGAAATTTTCTCGTAACCAGAATTTCTCTTGGGTACGTACAAATCCTACGAGTGCTCAGGAGCACTCTTACGCACATTCAGTGCCGACATATTCGCACTCTGGTGCCGTCTTCTTTTGTTAAGTTTAATAAAACACAACATTACAGTGATATGTTTGTCATATTGATATATGTATTTAATTATTTATTTCATTGTTTATGGTAATTTCGCCTATTTTGTAGTTCATTTTTGAAATAAATGTGCCAACACTTTATAAAATACATTTGAAATTATTCCGTCTATTAGTGACCCCATCCTATTTGTGCGGTGCATTTCTTCATCCACGGGCCAGAAAACAATGGTATATAGATCCATGTGAGAGACCATGCGCGGACCCGTATGATCTATGAGACCAGCGCGGACCCGCAATAGATCCGTGAGACCAGTGCGGACCCGCAATAGATCCATGAGACCAGCGCGGACCCGCAATAGATCCGTGAGACCAGTGCGGACCCGCAATAGATACGTGAGACCAGTGCGGACCCGCAATAGATCCATGAGACCAGCGCGGACCCGTAATAGATCCATGAGACCAGGGAGGACCCGCAATAGATCCGTGAGAACAGTGCGGACCCGTATAGATCCATGGGAGAGACCAGCGCAGAGACTCAGCACGGACCCTGCAACCTCCTGCAGCAGCAGTATATATATTATGGGTCCACGCCGGTCTCTCCTGGTGTTCGCGCTGGTCTCTGCAGGCTGGTCTCTCCAGTCTATGGTCTCTCATCGGGGCTGCCTTGGTCTCAGCGCTGGACCGCGCTGGATCTCCTCCCAGGGTCCGAAATATTTTGAGATTAATCTCACAACATTTTGAGATTAATCTAATAATATTTTGAGAATAATATTTAAAATAATACATACTATTTTAAAATTAATTAATCTCATAATTTGTTTAGATTAAGATTAATATTAATAATTAACATATTAATATTTCGACTTTAAAGTCAACATTTTATGACTTAAAAAGGGTGACTCTTTTTGCTCCGTGTAACTCTTTGCGTCTGCACACGGCCCTGCAGTCCCTTTTATGGGCATTAATGGGCGGTTACCTATGCTAAGTACCTATGCTAATGAAGCACCGGGCACGCGCTCTCTACTTACGAGGAGTTGGCATTCATCAATCTAAAAGAACAGCCGCGTACAATTCAGCGGCTTACGAGCGCGTTGATGAATCCCACGTAGGGTCTTCTTAGAAATCTACTTAAGAACTTGAGAAGAAATTTAAGAAGTTTCTTAAGAAGCCATTCGTGAATGAGGCCCAATGTCTCTAAGCTGGTATGGGAACACCTCAGGATTCTCCCGGATGAGCTGGAGGAAGTGCGCGTGGAAAGGGAAGTCTAGGCGTCTCTGTCCCACCACCCGGAAAAGGATAAATGATATAAAAATAAATAAAAATAAAAACTACAAGAAGGAACAGTAACTGCATAATAAGCTCTGCAGAATGACATATGTTTCTCTTGAACATTGACTGATGTGTGTAGAAATGCTCCAGAGTTCCATTCACCTGCTGGGCGAGGGCCACCACCTCCTTCACCACCTCCAGGAAGTGGGCACGTGTGCTGGTGTTTGCTGGCTGGTCCGGAGCTAACAGGACTTGGAAGACATGCTCCATCACCTGGACCTTTTCTGGAGGAGTGGGCAGTGGCAGTAGCAGCAGTTCAGCAATCTGACCAGGAGTGAGGAGGGACAGCGCCTCCACCTGGACACACACAGCATTAGATACCATCAGGAGAGGAGCACAACATCATCAGGAGACTTTTTTTATTTTTAAAAACTACAACTACTTGGGACGTAAACACAGATATATATTTGTTTAAATCTCATGTTCAATCAACTAAATTAAGTACTTTATTTTCAGGACATGACGTTTTTGCTACCCTATGGCTCCTATGTATTTGTTGTTATTGCATTTCATGTGTTTGAACTATTAGATTCCCTGATCTGTTGTTGGACGAATTGACAATTTATAAAGTCCTCCAAGATGACTGCTGTTGTGTTATAGGTCTATACACATTGAGTTCAGTCCAGCTCAAGACACAAGTAACAATACAAGTCTCTGTTTGTCTCATGCATGGATTCTGGCCAGCAGCATCAGCTCCTACCCCAAAGGCAGATATATGTACTTTTGTGTAATTATGTGCTTAATTAAAGGACAGTGTACAGTGTTGTTGATGTTGAACTACAGCCCAAACAGAAATGTGTTAATTCAAATCCATGTAATAGCTCATAATGGCCAATTCACTTCTCACTGTGCAACTATACAGGACACATCCTCAGAACTTTCTCATGGTCAGCATTGTTATATTATAATTATATTATAATTATATTTATAATATAATATAATTATAATTATATTAATTGCGTTCTTAGTTTGATTATACATTCCTATTCTTTTATCAACTAATCGTTTCATTTACCTAAATAAAGATTTTCTTCATACATTCAGGCTGACTAAAGTTCATGCTTTGTGAAAAAAGGCCGCAAACATGAGTAGTGTGAGATTGAGGCTCAATTAGTATGAGAATTAGCTCTACAAGTGATCTGACCTTCTGTAAGTGACAATGAACAGATTGTCTATCTGCTACGATTGTTTTATGTTTTTTCGATGTCTCTAGATATGATTAGGGCCCTCTTTAGCACCAAAGAATTAGATTTAGGCTATTCTTAAAATTCTCTTTAAAAAAATCCAACTCCCTACTTAAAGGATAGAGAGATGTTTTTTTTAAATGTATCGGCAAACTTTCAACACTGTGTTTGTAAGTAAGTAATCCTTATTCATGACGCGCCTTTTCACAGAGAGCTTTGCCATTGTTAAGGGCATTTTTCATCTCACTTCACACAGAGATGGAAGCAAAGTCGTCATACAGGAGGAACCTGTTTTCAGTCTACGCAGAGACAGGGAGAACGCGCAAACTCAAACCTTCTTGCTCGACCTTCTTGCGGTGAAGCACAAGCACTCACCGCAGGTGGTGTTTAAAACTAGTTTTGAAAGTGTGGGAGATGTGGGAGATTAGACTCCACAAAAAAGTTAACATCATTATATTTAAGATTTTGCTAATTGTTTTACAAAGGCAAACGACCAGACAATTTAATTTAGTCTAAAATTTGAACCAAACAGGTAGTTAGAAGTTAAATAGTTCTTCCTCTACATCTCATTTGGTCAAGTTTTGCTCCCATCCAAAGGGGTAAGCTCCCTCTGTTCTGATATTTCTACCAAAAACAAATAACCAAACACATGTGAAAAAAAGCCAAAATACTTTCAGAGTGTAAATAAAAATAACATTTATTCTTTCAGCCCCCAACCAGATCTGATTATTCTAATTCATTCCCCAACAAAAATGAGTTTGATGGCCCCGTGCAAACATGTGTGCAGTGTGGTGTGGTCTGGAGACCATGGTGTGGTGTGCATACCCCGGAGAAGTGCGGGTTGAGATGGTAGAAGTCTCGAATGGAGGTGAACCGCGAGAAGAAGCCAAAGTTCTTCTGCAGCCAGAGGGCGCTGTTGTTGACCGCGCACCGGGCTCCTGATGAGTGAGTGGGTAAATACTGTGAAACTATTACCATGGTTGTAAGACTGTAACTCTTAATGCTGTCATTTCAGATCTAAAACGGTTTGCTGTTTAACGACAATCTATCATTACACCTGCAGGGTATTAGCCTATTAGCTGAAAAACAGTAGCAGACAGACAGCAGGAGCAGACAGATCCTCACCAGAGAGGTTGTGGTGCAGGAGAAACGGGTGGATGAAGTGGGTGTAGACGCTGGGACCAGAGCTGGGACTGGCCTCCATCATGTGCATATGCTGGCTCAGGTCGGACACACTGCACAGAGGGACACTTCAACACTCATACCATCTTTAACCAACTGTTTAAAAGTAACTTGAGTGAGGAAAACAATAATATCTATCTATCTACTGTATCTATCTATCACTATGATCCGCCAGTCAACAAAGGGGGGCATTATCTCTCACACTGAGTGGTAGGCGACGCAGGAGAAGTTCTTTCGGCTCAGGCAGGAGAGCAGCTCTGGTGGGACGTCCGGCAGTAGGGGCAGCAGTTTGACTCTGAACCAGGTCTGGATGTAGACCGGGTCCATGAGCTGGTCCTGGGTTAAAGCCGGGGACGCACTGCCGCTAAAGATTCTCCTGATGTCAGAGGCCAGCTCCCCCAAGTCCTGCTCACACACATAACAAAGGCATGCACACACACACACACACACGCACATGCACACACGCACACACACACACGCACACACACACATTGTTTAGATCTTTCTGTGTATACTAGATAGGATGAAACATTAAAAACATGATGTCAAAACGCAATAAGAATCTATAATTAAACATTTTTTTCAAGGAATAAATAAAACAATAAATCTCATTGTCAACATTTTTGCATGGATGAGCATCTTCACTTGCACCTCTTGTTTCTTCAATCGTAGAAAATAGAAGAACGATAACAGGACAAAATTGAAATTTCTCACTCTTTTTAAAGCTGTTCTTAAAGAGCGACTAAACACCAAATCAACTTTTTTTTTACTCATAAACTGCATAAATATGTTTATTGTAGTGCTCTCTACATATCCTGGTCATGTTTTTGACATTTTAGTTCAAATTAGATAAAATATCACTTTTGAGCCAAAAAACATCTGTGTGGCGCCCTCTCTACCTTTTGGTGGTACTACATTTGAATTTGGTCCTGGCCTCTCCATTGACTCTGAAATTCTCTATGACGTCAGTCTGTCTGCGCCAGTGATATAAACCCATTCAACTCTCACACACGCCCCAGCTCCAGTTTGGAGTATTCTGGCGCCATCTAGTGGATTAAAATTAAATTATATGAGCAATTCTGAGATTATTGTGTGTGATTAGGTTCAGATGTGTAGCTTTACAATAATCTTAGTGTGTAAACAAGGGTGGAATGAGACTTTCTGGTGTGTAAACTATTGCTTTAAGCAGCAATTACAATTGTATGTTTTTTTTTTTGTGTGACAAGTGAGCTGTCAATCACAGCCCAGACCACGCCCAACTCTAAGCCCCCCTTCTTGTCCCTTGGTCCTCCAGGCAACGCCCGTATTTAGAGAAAATGTTCAAATATTCATGTGGGTGGAGTAAGGCTGGGCACAGGTGTTTAGTCGCTCTTTAATGTTTTGATGAGAAGAGTTTACAGTTTGGCTAACAATCTGCCTTCCCTCAGGTGAGTTGTGCGTACTTTGCGGCTGTGTGTTGTGTGACTGACCTTCTCTCGGGTGAGATGGCGGTATGTACCCGTGTGACCAGTGTGAGACCAGTGTGAGACCAGTGTGTGACCAGTGTGTGACCAGTGAGTGACCAGTGTGTGACCAGTGAGTGACCAGTGTGTGAGCAGTGTGTGAGCAGTGAGTGACCAGTGTGTGACCAGTGAGTGACCAGTGTGTGAGCAGTGTGTGACCAGTGAGTGACCAGTGTGTGAGCAGTGAGTGACCAGGGTGTGACCAGTGTGTGACAAGTGTGTGACCAGTGTGTGACCAGTGTGTGACCAGTTTTTGACCAGTGTGAGACCAGTGTGTGACCAGTGTGTGACTAGTTTGTAACCAGTGTGAGACCAGTGTGAGACCAGTGTGTGACCAGTGTGACCAGTGTGTGACCAGTGTGTGACCAGTTTGTGACCAGTTTGTGACCAGTTTGTGACCAGTCTGAGACCAGTGTGAGACCAGTGTGTGACTAGTGTGTAAGTAAGTAAGTAATGTTTGGCACATTTCTACAGACCAAGGTCACTCAAAGCACTTTACAATTGTTCAAAATTCCATTTTCTCCACACATGGTGATGACACGAGTTGCCGAACATTCATCAAAGCCTCAACCAACACCATCCATTCACTCATTCATTACATTAATACCTATTGTGCATGTTTTAGTGGTAGGGGAAACCGGAGCACCCGGAGGAAACCTACGCAGACGCGGGGAGAACATGCAAACTCCACTCAGAAAGCCCTGTTCCGACCGGGATTCGAACCCAGGACCTTCTTGCTGAGAAGCGTGAGTACTATCCACTCAGCCATCACATGAAACCAGTGTGTGACCAGTATGGGAGTCTCACCGCAGAGGACAGCGCCCGCAGCAGTGAGGACAGCCTGTGTGTAAGTCCACCCAGCAGCTCCAGGACAGTCTCAGGGGTCAGAGCGAGGTGGGTCTGGGCCGCACAGTTCAGCACACGGGCCACGTCCTGCACCACGTCTGTCAGCTGTAACACATGCCACAGTCAAGACAACACATATGGGGCAAAAAAAAACTGTCAAAATTATGATTTTGTTTATGATAAAATACATTTTCAAATACTAGGGTGAAATTTAACTGGCCACATTTGAGACATTTCACATATATATTTACTTTGGCCAATATTAGCCAATTAACTACAAGCAATAAAATATGAATAGTTTAAAAAACATCCTTCACTTTCTCAAAGAAAAATGTCTCTAAAATGAGGGCTGAATTTCCTTTCAACATCTAACTCAATAACCAATGAATACAACCATTTATGGAACTATTATTCAAATAACAGAAAAAAAAGTTAAACAAATTTGGGTTTTTTTGCACATTTTTTGTCTCCTAAATCTGAAATAGTCCTTGACACTAATTAGTAAACAAACAGCTGTGAGTTTGCGTAAAAGTAATACGTTTTAAACTTAAATTTTCCTCTGAATTGAAAAAAAAAAATCCAAATTGGCTGTTGCAGAACATGGATGAGACATTTTACAGCAGCTGACTGTGATAGGTCACTTTAAACTTATTAATCCATGATATAATTGGCTTTGACACAGATAGAAGCTTCATACAATCCTCTATAATGCAATGGGACATGTGTGAGAGGAGGCTGACCCCACACTGGCCCTGGTCCAGAACCAGGCTGCAGACGTCTTCCAGCTCCGATTTGCTATCATTCATGCCGTGCTCCAGGTAACTGCAGAAACACAAACACACACACACAGGTATAATATACACACAAACACACATACGGACAAGTTACATCTTAACTCATTTCCATAAGAATGACCCACATTCATGAATGTGGGTTTGAACAAAAAAACTCCAGTTGTGTTTTTGATGAGGAAGAATGTGATAACAGGCTTGGAAGCTGAGAACTAGGGATGTAAAAAACTATGAATTTTCATGACCGACCACCGAGCCTCATTAACCGGTTGAAACCGGTTAACCGCGTAGTTTAAAATAGTCCATGTTCTTTGAAATAACAGCCATTTCGAGCCGCATACTTTTCATAAGTGCAGCTCTGCGTTCTACTGGATCAGAGCCGAGACAGCGGCGCCAAAATCCGCAACAGCTTCGGTACCTTTGCACACAGAGAACTGCTTTTTTAATCTTCCCATTCTGCTGTGCTGCGGGTTAAAGCATTTTAAGCAAAAGACGGCTCGGCTCGTTCACATGGTCAGAGCAGCGAGTGACGAGCCGCGTCTCGCAGGTCTCCGCTAAAGTTAATATATACAGTCTATGGTATGTGTATGTGTGTGTCTAATACATGTATGTGTGTGTAAATATAAGCTCCAATGTAGTTCTGACCTGCACCAGTGTGCAACTAGCAGACGGTAACAGAGGGGAGAGATGATGCGTGTGGATGTTACGTATCAAAAGTGTGCGTGTGCATGTGTGCGTGTGCATGTGTGCGTGCATATGTGGCGCGTGCGGCGTGAGAGTCGGCCCGGAGTTTACTGATACATTGGCGCACACAGCTAGATACGGACTCGCTCGTCACATCTTGCAAATAGGGCTTAAAATAGCGTTATGAAAAGACCTCCCCTTTTTCTCTTTTTTTAACCGACAGCTTTGACCGGTTAATGCTGTGACGGTCAACCACCGGTTAAACGGTCACCGATTTACATCCCTACTGAGAACACACAACTGCGTAATACAGTTTGTGTCTATTAAATTGTACATTTTAACCCATTTCTTTCTTTGCGATTATACTGTATATCAAAATGCGTTTAGGGGTAGGACTAACGTTAGGACTAAGATTTTATCAAATCCCAAAGTGTTTAACTCCAGATTAAATTTTAACATTATGTGTTTTTAAGAACGCTTACAACAGTGAGTAGAAGGCCGCCGACACTTTGTTGTCTTTGATGAGCTCTGGGGGGAGGAACCGTCGCAGCACTGGGACCACCACATGCATGTACCAATCCTCCACACTGGTCACGTTGAAGGCTAAAGGGCCATCTGAAGATCCCTCAAGAGGCTGCTCTGTCTCTGGGGGCCTGTACAGCTGGGCCACCTGTGACAGTGTGAAGTTGATGGCGAACTGGGCCAGAGACGTGCTCCGGATCTCAGACAGATTCCTCTGGAGAAGCAGCACAGGAGATTAGGTTAGTCCTGACCCGAGCTGCTCTGTGGGGACAGTGCAGGGTCTTCTCGGTGGTGTGGGGGTCATACCTGATGTGTGAAGGCCACAAACTCATGGACAAGACTTTTCATGGGCACAACCACTTTCATGAAGTCATCCAACACCTGTGAATCAAGCAAGAGCAATTATGTGGACTAGTGTTGTCACCATCCTCAAATATCGACTGGATATGCTCCTTCAGGCAAGTCCAAAGGGGGTTACTGCACCTGTGTAATTGAGGGCCCTGGGGGGTAGCTAGCTTTGTAATGGTGGCCCTTGGGGGTAGCTGTAACTGTGTGGTGGTGGGCCTTGGGGGGTAACTGTACCTGTTTGATGGTGGGCCGGGCAGGGGGTGGGTAGTATGGGTCATATGTGGGTGCTTGAGGGTAGCTGTGTCCCTCAGTGGTCCAATTGTGACCGGTCTCAGGCCCAGCTGTGGTGGTGGGACCCGGACCCTCCATCATGCTGTGGAACACCAGATGCAGGGTCCCGTTGTCCAGCCCAGTCACCGGGCTGATGAGGAGGTAGGCCTTCTGCTCTGGGGTCAGCAGATGCAGCACCTCCAACTGAACACACACGCGCACACACACACATATGCACAAACATATGCAAAAACACATACGTGCACAAACATATGCAAACACACACACACACACACACACACAGACGCACACATTTACTACTGCTACTTCTGCAATGCTGCTCATTCTTGTCATCTTGTATACAGTATATGTCTTTAAATCAATGGTTAGAGGGTATTAGAAAATTCTCTCTTTCTCAACTTGAAAAGTAACACTCACTGTAAACTACCACAATTCTAAGAACCTATGATGTCACATGATTGCAAACTATTACAGAATGTAGCATACGGGTAAAACGCTTAGGGTTAGGGGCTAAAACAATCGACAAACAGTGTTTTTTAAGAATCTGCCAAACTTACTCCACTGAAAGCCATGTTGAGTGTGGAGAAGTCCTTTACGCTGGCCATGGCTCTGAAGTTACCAAAGTTCTTCAAGAGCCAGTCCACAAGGTTCTCCTGCGGCGTCACACAGCCTGCACATGACACAGGAACTCACAGTCACAGGTCCACCTCAGCACTTCAACCATAGCAATCAAATAACTCTCTTTGATACCATATGCAGACTAAAACATGGCGTCAGTCGGATTGGTGACCAAGACAAAGCTGTAAATGTTTCAGAAACAGCATGTGTGTTATACTGTTGAGTGTTGTCTTGGTCAAATGTTGTAATTTAATAACATCACACTCTCAAATAACAGACTTACCAAAACACGGGTTTCATGATTTTTTTCTGTTATTTTCAACCAGTGTTTTTGGTGTTCGTATTTCATTTTTAAAATATTATGGAGAAGTATAGAACACTTGAACTACATTTTAAGTGATGAGAATCTGTATAATGTGTCATCTTTGGACATACTGTATTGTCACAGTTGTAATAAGAATTAGCAGTAGAAGTCTCGACTTTAACCTAACCCCAGGTATTATTTAGCACAAAAAGCCTTAACACTAGGAGCGCCCCTAGCGGTCAACTGACCGTCACTCACTTTAATATGCTAATTAGTGTATTCAAAACAAAACGCCAGAAGTTGAAATTTTATGACTTTTTCTAGGTACTTGTTGTTTATATTTTGGTGTGTTTTGGTTTTGGAAAAAGTAAATAAAACAAGATTTACACGCATTTTAACTTTTCTAAACCACAGCCCTTTCTGCTGCCCCATAGGGATACATGGCGCAGGGGCGACTGTTGTCATAGTAACCTTTCCCGGGGTTTTTTCGCGCCTTATAAAAATGTATCAATATGTTGTCATTAGACTCTAAAGGGACTTTTTTATTATTATTTGGGAGAGAGAGAGGAGTACAAAATGAATAGAGCTGCAAGTACACGGTAGAAGCCCTGACAGTGCTTCAAGACATTGAATGAGAACAGTCTGACGGAGGTGAGAGATGTCACATTTTGAGGTAGAAAGTGACAGCGGGGAGAACACCTATAATATTCTAAATCTGAACGTAAACCCGTAGTGCATTCACGGCACGGACAGCAGTGTTGTAACAAGTCCAGAAGCAATAACGCACATGACCCGCGTAATGCCAGCCATACGCAGGTGTCTGTGTGCGCGCTGTTCTCCATTCTGCCTTTTCATTCATCATCAATTACATTATTATATTTATACATACAAGAAGGCAATACAGCAGAATACAATATCGCAATAAAATAGAACAATTAGATGAACTATCAAGGCAGAGTGCAGAGAGAGCGCTGTGATCCTCTCGTCACCCGCGGACACCTGCAGGAGGAGAGCGACTGTGGCAGAAGCGGCCCTCATTATCAATAAGGATATCATTCTTATTTCATTCAGATAACACTGTGTGTTATTCTGCACAGCGCGCACTGCAAGGCAATGATTATAATGTTGTTCTGAGCATAAAGAGCACTGCTTGTCTCAAATAAATACAAATATATATACATATATTTGTACAAATATATATACATATATTTGTATTTCTAACGTGTCCCGTGTAAAATTGAAGATTGTACATTGGCGATGGTAGCCTAGCTGATGATCTTGTGTCAATACGAATATTATTATTATCTAGATAATATTTCCCACGGTGATTTCGGCCTCTAAAAAGAAAACAGTCTGGAGATGACGTAAGAAGTAGACGCATATAGCAGCGCGAAGACGTTATGGTCCCGTGCTTTTCTAAACTATAATTTATATTGTTTGAATTTACATATTGTTACTGAGTCAAATATAACATATAGTGACCGACCTTTTAGGTGTTTGCAAAGTTACAAAATAAATCTAGCCTGAAAAGTCATCAATTTTGATGGATCAGTTTACGCACAATGTGTCGTCTTAGTCTTTTATTTCGGCTAGAATTACAATTACTTAGCATATTTAGACAAATAATTTACACAGTTTCATTATGATCACGATTCCTTTGCAACATCAAGTTCTGGTTTAGTGAACAATCAATTTGGCAAAAGTCTGTATCAGCGCAAAATACATAGCGGTCAACTGACCGCAGGGGGCGGTGCAAGGTATGTTTAGAGCACGGCGGTCCTAGTGTTAATATGTATGATTATTATTGTTATTGTTATTATAATTATTACTACTATTATCATTATTATTGTAAAATGTATAATTCCTGTGAAAATAAGTGACCTAAGATCTAATGTTCATAATGACAAAGAAAAAAACTACTACTGCAAAGAATTGCTGACTTTTTATGGGTTACAAGTAGCAACCCATCAAAAGGACTTTTACAGTTACGACTCTTTTGGCTTTTTGTGATCTAAACAAGAAAGAATAGTCCTTTTGTCGATGTGTGAGAGTAGTTGTACCAGCCATGTCGTCCCGGGACAGGAAGGGGAACATGAAGAAGTCGTAGATCCACTTCCGCCGCACAGGGTCTATGTGGGAGAAGTAATCGCTCAGCTGCTGCACCCTGCACAGGACATCAGGCTTGTCAGCGTCACAGACATGGACTGATGGAACATTCTAAGCGTAGTGGAAAATTATTCGTATTCTGTTTATTTAGATGTAAAATATAATTGCCCGTTATAAGGCCCAACAAAGGGTCCTTGTTCTTGGTCCAGACAACCAGGCACTTTTTAGAATAGGAGGTTTCAAATTTACAGGGTTTGGTATCACCATAAAATAATTGAAAAAAGATCTGTTCCCCCCCCCCCCCCCCCCCGAACTCTCACCCCTTCTTTTTCTAACGCTGGATGTTAAAAGTTGTGATTTATTTTGTTCTAGGCAAAAAAAACTGAGCAGAAACCTTCTCAGGTTTAATAACAGCTTCTGCCAGAGCTTAATGCCCATTCTATACAATTATTAGATAGATAGATAATTTTTTGATCTGTGTAGGAGAGATTCAGGTGTCCAGCTGCCGAAAACACATTCACATAAGTACATAAATTATAAAAATGTCTAACTAACTACCTAACAATAGTGAATATTTTAACTCATACAGGTCTGTTGTACAGTCTGACAGCTGAAGGAACAAAGGATCTCTGAAAACGGTCCGTTCGGCAGCGCAGTGATATAAGCCTGTTACTACGATTACACAAGATTTTTTTACCTGGATCATCATGATAAAATTGTCACTGCAGTCGTCCATGCAGGCCAGGCACCTGGCCTGCATGGACGACTACCTTCATAATCCTGCCTGATGTCAGAGGCCAGAGGAGCCAGACTACAGCTGTGAGGCCAGAGTACTGCTGCAGCTGTGGTGCACTGGGGTGGTTTCAGAGCCTAAAGAACCCTCTCGCTCGGCAGAACATGTGTGGGGCAGCCACCTGGGACGGAGCACATGGACCACCTGCAGTCTCGGGGGGTTTGATCACGGGATAAGCCAGTTTAGACTGTGATGAGGAGGCTTGAGTATTTATATTGGGCTAAATGTTTTATATTCCCCAATTAAATGGAAAACGCTGATGTTTCAAATTGTTTAGTTCAATCTATATTTGCTATAAATATTACTTTCAGAAGTACTAATACATCTTGAACTTTATTCAGATTTTCAATTGAATTTAAGTCTGGACTCAAGCTCAGAGTTGTTTTGTAAAGATGACTTGGCCCAGTCAAGTTGGACTGACTGGGCCCAGTCATCTTTACAAAATAACTCTGAGCTTGAGTTGTTTTGCAAAGAACCTTCAGTCTCTAGATGTGCAAAGCTTGTTGTGTAAGCCCCTCATGTATCAAAACATGTTCACTTCACAGTTGTCTTACTTTGTTGTTGTCTTTACAAACAATATTTATGTTTGTGATTGTAACATGTGGAAAAGTTCTTTGCAGATGTAAAATGTCCCTGAATCCACTGTGATTGTCGCTGCTAGTTCTGGTTGAGTGTTGTAATAACTCTGCTCTCACGTACATAATCTGGTAGGTTTGGCAGCTGAAGTTCTTGGTACTCAGGCAGGACAGAAGCTCTCTGGACACAGACTGGAGCAGCGGCTTCATCTTCACTTCCAGCCACATGTGGACCAGAGCCTCATTCTGCAGAGCCTCCTCTGGCAGGCTCAGATCCACTGCCCCCTGTAGACCGAGCACAGGAACTCCCTTCGTGCTTCCCCGCTGGAGTGGACACACAAATCAACCTCAGTCAATGTACAGGACAAACCAGTTCTACTACAGTCTCAAGAGTCAAATTATTATTATTTTTTATGTTTTTTAGTTTTTACTTTGCGCATGTTTTACTTTTTTTTTTTTTTAAACATTTAATAGCATACTTTTTAAATGAAAGTATATCTAATGGTCATCACTTAGCAGAGAGATGACCAGTCAAGAAAAATGTATTCAATCATTATAATAAATTCTTTTCGTAATCCCTTATCCATATTTGCTTCCCCGCCAATGATGAGATTTTCCTCTTTGCAGGTGTCCCATGATGCAGATTTAAGGTTTTCTGGTGATGCCGCAGCAGATAAAAGTGGTTGCAAAACTAGGCAAGAATTTGAATCCAGTATATCCATCTGGATGTACTTGTTTGTGAAGTCCAACCTGTAGTACTGGTGTTTCGCTGTAATACAGTCCTCAGTTCTTCTTAGAATGTCTGTGAATGATCTTTATAGTAAAACTTGTTTACATGACTCATTTGATCTTATTAAGTATTGTATTATGGAACACACTAGGTATGGCTCTCTCAAAGTAAGGGTTTCAGGGTGTGATAGATGACAGCTTTGAAATGAGCTACGCAATCAGGAAATGGACATGAGTGGAAAATTACACAGCGGCGATCACACGTTCAAGTGTCACATGTCTCTATACCATATAGGTGCAGGTTTGACTTCTGGAGCTTACCACTTGTTCTCCCCGTGGGCTGAAGAAGGAGTGGGCTCACCGAGGACTCATTGAGCGCTGATGTCTGTGTTGTGGAAGAAGTCGATTGGAGCTAACTCAAACTCTATGAGGATTTGAACTGACTTGCACAGGCTCCAAGAGGATTATAGCTAACACAAAAAGGCCCCATGAGGATTGGAGCCAACTCATACAGGCTCCAGACAGAAATCTTTGGACAGAAATCTGGAGCCAAATTTGTGGGTAGCAACAACCTATCAACTAAAGAGCAAACCAGGAGCGGCGGTGGTCTACTCCCGTAATATGGCAACTAAAGCCAAAATTGGTTACAGAAAGCCATACACAAAAGATGTCAGCTTTATCAATGTGTTATATAAAATACAATAGTATTTATCTGATGCCATAAAGAAAGCATTAGTGTGAGATGAGATTACCATGAATGTGTAGAGGTCCATGAGAGCCTCCATGACAGAGCGCAGTCTGTGGAGGTGTTGTGGCCCTGTGTCGGAGAAGGGGAGCCCTGCGCATTGCAGGAAATTCTCAGCCGGCCCCTGAAACAACAGCCATGAGTATGGATGGAGCTACAAACACAGCTAATGTAGTAACATGGTGAAAAGCCCCACTATGCACAATAACTTTGCATTTTAATACCACTGCTATTGTCAGCTACTCCAATTATCTATTTGTTCATTATTAGATCATGTACTTATTATCATACTTATTTATTGCATAGATGTGGTTCTGAATGAATGAATGAATACTTTATTTCGAGCCATGGCAGACAAGAACAAAGAGCAACAACAAAACAACAGAATATAAAAAAAATACAATACATATACATTATGTTTTGTTTTATGAACAATAAGTCAGTGAGAAGAAGTTAAGACAATTATTTCTGCCTGAATTTCTCCTACGGGGATCAATAAAGTATCTATCTATCTATCAATAACTGTATCTATAATATTTCAAGCCTATATGTTCCTACTGTATTTTTAGCGTCTCATCAGGTTTTAGCACAGAACAATACAGCTGATGACAGAGCGGGGAGTATGTCCAGCTCACCTGTGCACATGTCTCTCCGGTCGGACAGGGTACAATGCTGTCTCCAGAAACACAACAGGAGATAAGAGCAGCGTTCACACAACACTATGTACTCTATGTACAGTAATGTTACACTAGAGTTTTACCCAAAGACTTAAATCTTACCTCAGTCCTTCTGACGTTCCTGTGGACACATTTAGAACAACAGTCACATGACGCACTCATGTCACCATGAGGTAGAACTTTCAAACCACAAAAAATATTCATTACAGTATTTGTAAATTAATCATGTCAGTAGTGGGGCAGGGCTTGCTGATGAGATACATATCAATGTTTATGATGCATTGAACATAAGTAAGGGACTTATAAAGTGTTACCTGATATGTTTCTAGACAATTTGATACAGTTCAGTAAATAAAGGCTTTTGGCCTCTTGTATAATGCGCTACAACACGATTGATGAGATGATCTATTAGCTCTTTCTTTCTTTTGTGCAAAAATGTACAAAAGATAATGGGCCTCATTCACGAATAACTTCGTAAGAAACTTCTCAAATTTCTTCTCAAGTTGTCCTTAAGTAGATTTCTAAGAAGTCCCTACGTGGGATTCATCAACGCACTCGTAAGCCGCTGAATTGTTCGCAGCTGTTCTCTTAGATTGATGAATCCCATTTCCTCGTAAGTAGAGCGCGCGTGCCCGGTGCTTCATTAGCATAGGTACTTAGCATAAGTAACCGCCCATTAATGCCCATATAAGGGACTGCAGGGCCGTGTGCAGACGGCAGAGGAAACAGCAACAGGCCTAAAGCAAATAGCTACACGGAGCAAAAGAGTCACCCTTTTTTCTTCTTTTGCCAGACTGAGAATGTTGACTTAAAAGTCAAAATATTATGAGAAAAAAGTCGAACTAGCAAAATTATGAGATTAATCGAAGAATATGATGAGATTAATCTTAAAATGTTATGAGCTTAATTTAAAAATATATTATGTATTATTTTAAAGATGAATCTCAAAATGTTTTGAGATTAATCTCAAAATATTTTGGACCCTGGGAGGAGATCCAGCGCGGACCAGCGCTGAGACCAATGCAGACCCGAGGAGAGACTGGAGTGACCAGCACACAGAAACCAGCGCGGACCTATAGGAGAGACCGCATAGATAGACTGTAGTGACCTGACTGGAGAGACCGGTGCGCAGAGACCAGCGCGGACCGAAGAGAGACCGCATAGACCAGACTTGAGAGACCAGCGCGGACCCGTATGGATCCAGGAGCATGCAGCACGGACCCGTATGGAGAGACCAGTGCAGACCCGTCTAGAGCCATGGGAGAGACCAGTGCAGACACGTCTAGATCCATGGGAGAGACCAGTGCAGACCCGTATAGATCCATGGGAGAGACCAGTGCAGACCCGTATAGATCCATGGGAGAGACCAGTGCAGACCCGTATAGATCCATGGGAGAGACCAGCGCAGAGACTCAGCGCGGACCCAGTAACCTCCTGCAGCAGCAGTATATATGCCGTTGTTCTGTGGCCCGTGGATAAAGAAATGCCCCCTATAAATAGGAAGGGGTCACTAATACACGGCAAGATTTCCAATGTATTTGATAAAGCGTTGGCAAATTTCATTTCAAAAGGAATTAAAAAGTAGGCCAGATCTGCAGTGAAAAAGGCGGTATATAAATAAAGATTACTAATAAAGATTACTACAAATAAATAAATACATACATTGATATGACGGAAATATCACTGGAATGTTGTATTTTTATTAAACTTCACCAAAGAGGACAACCCCAGCGTGTGAACATGTCGGCACTGAATGCGTACGAGTGCTCCTGAGGACTCGTAGGATTTGTACTTGCCCAAGAGAAATTCTGGTTACGAGAAAAATTCGTGAATGCCACTTTCTTCGTAAAAACCTCGTAAGTAGGATTTACGTACAAATCTGTTCCTAAGAACCGTTCGTGAATGAGGCCCAATGTGTTTTCGAATGAGATGAAAACAGCATGTGGTGGTCAAAACAACATGGATTATTTATTGAACCAAAATAAATAGGTACCCCATCTAAAAAAAAGTGATGTTTTAAAGGTTTTATCACATTGAGGAACATTCAAGGCAAAACAATAACATAATATGAGTTAAACCCTTTCTACTTGATTCTGCAAATACATATTTTTGTGATTTAAAATAAGTAAGTCGTCTCTATTTATCAAGCACCTTTTCACAGTACGCGTGTCTGCATGTCTTCGTGTGTGTGTGTGTGTGTGTCGTACCCCAGCAGAAGTAGATCAGGAGAAACAGGCCGTGTGATTTCATCGTGTGCCAGCGGGTCATGTGATTGCTCTCATGGGCCAGATCTGTGGAGAAGGTGAGACATACACACACAATACTATTATGAACCAAACCTTCAACTCAGACCATTCGACGAACAAGAAAAACAAGAACACAGCATCAAAGTGACAATCAGGCTAGATCAACTGGGCGGTGCGGCCACTTTTTATCAAGGTGAGCAAGTCATGTTTTTACATCACATTCTTCAGACCAAGGCCACACAATTTTGGTTTGCTGGTTAAACACATTGAAACATTAATATCACAAAAGAGATCAAAATAATAATCCCCGTTAGTGTCTGCAGCTGTCCAATATATATTGACTCACAGGGTGCAAAAATATGCAAAAGAAGATGGTGGTCTGATTCATATTTTACTTTCACACGACTCTTTCTGTCAGAACAATCACATGTATAATTGATGACAAATAAAAAGTTAGATACCCCAGCATGAGGGGCCATCTGAAGCTAAGCAGGGCAGGGCATGGTTGGTGCTGTGATGGGAGATCTCTGGGAACACCAGGTGCCACAGTGGGGCTTTGTCTGTAAAGTGCTAAACTGTTCTTCTGTCTTTAGGCAAAACACTTCACCCACATTGTGTAGAATTAGTCTGGTGTGTGTGTGAATCGTTGGTGGTGGTTTGAGGGGCTGATGGCGCCAACATCGCTCAGCCCTGTGTGAGGTCAGTGCACAGACTGACAGGCATCGGGGTGTGGCTCCATCGCTTGTGCGAGCAGACGACCTTTGCTTCAGAATCTCAGAGATGGTTCACAAAGGTTCTCCAATGGAAAGAATGCTTAGAGTCGAGCAGAAACTCGGCACCTCGCAGACAAAGCAGTGCGCAGTTACACGGGGCGGGGCCAGGTGCGGGGCACTTTAAAGGACTATTGTTGAAACAGGGAATATGAGACGCGCACAAAAGAGCAGCGGGATCACAGCTGTTTGCTCTGCACTCAACGTCGAAAGACTAATATGAGTTTTTATGTGTATTGATTTTGTCATTTAAACTTGATAATACAATATTTACCGCTATATTTCCTATTCAAGAATGTGTTCAGAAAGAAGAGGGGTCTGAAATACAGTAAATGCAGTAGAAATCATGGCTCATCATATATAATGGATACAAGAAAATATTTTTTTCATTTTGTAAATATCTGAGAAAAATGTGTAGTGAAGTTTGAAAGAATGTCAAATGACCCAAGAAATCCCCTAAACTAATTTGGGGCTACACCACTCTGTGACGTTCATCATTGTGTAACGTGTTTGAAAACAGAGAATTAAGACAGAAGGAGCGGGTCAGACAGGTTTTCTCTCCATTAAGTTGAATGGAGATACAATAACAAGTAATCCAGGTCTGTTTTGATGATGAACTATGTTATCCTTTGTTCCATCTGCACCCACCCTAATGGAGAGCAAACATGTCTGCCCCACTCCTTCTCTCTGTTTTCTGTATATATTTTAGTGTCAGAAGAGTGAAGACATCTTTTAGCTTAATAAGCAAAAAGATGACCTTAATGAGGTTGTGGGTTCGATCCCCCCACGTCGTCTGATTGGGCAAGACACTTAGGGGATCCAACCCAAATGCTCTCACAATACTAGAGCACTGGAGGTAATAAAAAAACAATTACTTATGTCCAGTCGCCGATATCCTTTGGGAGTCTGTGCCATCGTTATTTCTATCATTTGTTATCTAAAATCATGTGAGAATTTAGTTTTCTTAACCAAAAACAAACAAACCAAAAACAAACAAACAAGCTAATAAATCAAAACTAAATCTCATGGATGATCCTTTTCCCAAATGTACACATAAACCCTCCTGATGAATCCATTTGGGAAAAACAGTCCCACAGCATGATGCTGCCACCATCATGGGTGGTGTGAGCAGAGCGATGAGCAAGTGTTAATTTTCCACCACATCTTTTGTATTTTGTATTTAATCTGATTACAGCACCTTCTTCCACAAGTGTATATGTGTTTATTGTTTCAGCTTCTTGTGGCTTTATTTCAACACTCTAGTCTATTTACCACTCGTCCATAAAGGTCAGATTTGTGCATTGTATGACTAATGTTTTCCCCATGTAAAGGTGCGAGGTGTGGTCCATTGTGGACAGTGCGGTGAGTGCCAACACGAGGGAGAGAGGGGGATCAGAACCAGTCTATTTCTAGGAACATTGGGCCTCATTCACGAATAACTTTGTAAGAAACTTCTTAAATTTCTTCTCAAGTCGTTCTTCAGTAGATTTCTAAGAAGACCCTACGTGGAATTCGTCAACGCACTCGTTGCCGTGGGCGGCACGGTGGCTGAGTGGATAGCACTCTCGCCTCTCAGCAAGAAGGTCCTGGGTTCAAATCCCGGTCGGACCAGGGCCTTTCTGAGTGGAGTTTGCATGTTCTCCCCGTGTCTGCGTAGGTTTCCTCCGGGTACTCCGGTTTCCCCTACCACTAAAAATATGTCCAATAGGCATGTCTGCAATGTGCCTCCTGTACTGGCGACCCCGCTCCCATCTCTGTGTGGAGTGAGAGATAAATGCCCATAATTAACAATTGTTAACCGCTTTGAGACTGAGATCTGCAGTGAAAAGGCGGTATATAAATAAAGATGATTAGATGATTACTAAGCCACTGAATTGTTCGCAGCTGTTCTCTCTAATTGATGAATGCCAACTCCTCGTAAGTAGAGCGCGCGTGCCCGGTGCTTCATTAGCATAGGTACTTAGCATAGGTAACCGCCCATTAATGCCCATATAAGGCACTGCAGGGCCGTGTGCAGACGCCAGAGGAAACAGCAACAGGCCTAAAGCAAAGAGTTACACGGAGCAAAAGAGTCACCCTTTTTTCTTCTTTTGCCACACTAGGAATAAAGTCATAAAATGTTGACTTAAAAGTTGAAATATTTTGAGAATAAAGTTGAACTAGCAAAATGATGAGATTAATCTCAAAATGTTATGAGATTAATTTAAAAATATATTATGTTTTAATTTAAAAATGAATCTCAAAATGTTATGAGATTAATCTAAAAGTATTTTGGACCCTGAGAGGAGATCCAGCGCTGAGACCAATGCAGACCCGAGGAGAGACTGGAGAGACCAGCACACAGAAACCAGAGCGGACAGGAGAGACCGCATAGACTGAGACCAGCGCGGACCGAAGAGAGACCGCATAGACTGAGACCAGCGCGGACCGAGGAGAGACCGCATAGACTGAGACCAGCGCGGACCGAGGAGAGACCGCATAGACTGAGACCAGCGCGGACCGAGGAGAGACCGCATAGACTGAGACCAGCGCGGACCGAGGAGAGAATAGACTGAGACCAGCGCGGACCGAAGAGAGACCGCAGCGACTGGAGAGACCAGCGCGGTCCTCCTGCTGCAGCAGTATATATTCCATTGTTTTGTGACCCGTGGATGCATAAATATCCCCTATAATAGGATGGGGTCATTAACGGCATGATTTCCAATGTATTTGATAAAGCGTTGGCGCATTAAGTTTACAAATTAATTTAAAAAATGACTAAATTACCATAAACAATGAAATAAATAAATACATACATCAATATGACAAACATATCACTGTAATGTTGTATTTTATTGAACTTCACAACACGAGCGTGCGAACATGTCGGCACTGAATGTGCGTAAGAGTGCTCCTGAGCACTCGTAGGATTTGTACTTACCCAAGAGAAATTCTGCTTACGAGAAATATTCGTGAATGCCACATTCTTCGTAAAATCCTCGTAATTAGGATTTACGCACAAATTTGTTCGTAAGAACCGTTTGTGAATGAGGCCCATTCTTTTCTATTCACTAAACCATGTGCTGTTGCTTCACATGGCAGGGCTAAATCTGCAGGTATTTGTCAGTGAAATGTGTACATTAGATGAGAAACACACACTCTGTCAAAATGTCAAATTGTGTTTTTTTTTTTTTAACACAGCAGTGCGATTTTATAGCAGGATACTGTTCAGACATTTGTGAGAAAACAGATGCAGCATGAAGGAAGCAAATTCATTTCAGACCATGTACAATTTTTAATTCCTCTTAAACTTTGTCTCAAGCTCCAAGTAACAACCAATTCAAACAATAATAAAATGTTTACTCCGATAATATTGGTTACAAATGAACGTTCTTGCTGTAATGACAAGGGGATCATTCTCACAACGTAGGCATAGAATTGATAAGGGCAACGGCATAAGGACTAAAGCAGTGGATATTTTTGTCAGGGAAAAAATCAAGGGGACATTACTTGAACAATAGATTCTACACAGCTTTTGTCTAGTTGATCTCGTTCTTTTCCAATGTCATTCAGACACTCGGAGCGCTTCATGCATGTTTGAGTAATTTTCTCCTGGCACCGAGGCATCACTTGTTTTGAATGTGCATAAATTACCTCTACTTATAATGAGAAACAGACTTGCTCACATAATTGTTCAGCGTTGACATATGCCATGTTCTCTGAGTGGTTCTTAAGCTGCCCAATCAGAAGACAGCAGCCGCTCGTGGCACAGATCCAGAGCCTCACATATTCGACCATAATGAATACAGAAAAATCAATTCGTATAAATGACATAATGAGCATTTTACGTATTGAATAACTCAGGTGTACGTTGAGAGGCTCAATCACAACATTTGATGAAACATGGCAGCCATTTATAAAACACTAAAAGTCACTAAAAATTCAGTTTACAAATTTCAATGTGAAGTTCGCCTTAAAATATAATGAAAATAATAAAATATTCAATATGTTTATTTTCGAGCCTCAAATTCAATGCACTGGGAAATCCGACGAAACAAAAAATACGGATTTTTTGTTACATCAGATATTGAATTTAAAATGGACCTGAACTCATCTAAAAAAAAAAAATGGATGCATATATTTTCAAGAGCTTAAATTCAACAGTAAAAAATTGCTGACAAAAAATATGATAGTGAAAAATTCGCATGATACATCCGGTGTTCTGGCCTGTGAGTTCGTCTGCGCCTGCGCAAAAGTTTTCTCTTCACTGAGGTTGGAATCTGTCGTTGCTATGTC